TGGATTGGGTCAAAGGAGTATGAACACCTTGGTCTTGAGCAAATAGAGGGGTGGTGGTTGTGGTGATGGGGCTGTGAGAACAAATTCCGACTGCCTAGCTCTCTGAAGAGTCAATATCACTGAATGTGCCTTGATAGTCAGATGTGCAAAAGGAGGACTGTTTTACTTCCGTCTACTCTGTGATTCGCCTCGACCAGAAGCGAAACTTAATACCCTTTGCGAAGACCTAATTTTTCGAATGACTAAATACACATGATGATGAACAGAATGAACACGGTCCTGTCTTGCCTCAGGGACAAGTAAATGCATACACACAGAATCGGAATTTTTATTTTTGATTACATAAATACATTTGTGATATATATGTATATATGGCATCATTAAGATTTGCGGAAAACGGGTACATTCGTCATTCTGTTTTACTTAAAATTTATTCGTGCTGTTAGTTCTTAGGACAGTTCAACGTGGTCAGTGAGTAATTAGGTAACAACGGTTATGTACCAGATTCAAGCGGTAGGATTTGTAAAATTCAAAAGTTTTATCGACAGGTCGGATCGCAATAATGCAAAAACCGAATAGATACAGCAGGTCAGAGAACCGATGCAATCTCTTGGGGAATCAACCAAATCTGATGAAGTTCTGAAACACAAAAATATCCACCCAAGGAGGTGCTGATTCATCCAGCTTGACCACTATCAGCAAACTTCTCTTCAAATAGTATGTTTGTCGGTCTTTTTGGAGAAAATAGTCACATGAACACGCATTTTAGCTCAGGGGAGATGGGTATATACTGCAAAGTCTTTCCGAGTCACGACACAAGTGGATGCAGTGAATTGATCGATTCGACCAATCACGAGGGTTTAGTTCAATCATTACTCATCAACTAGCCCCCCCTCCCCGTGAGTGACAGTGGATAAAACAATAATTTATACAAATGGGTTTAGCCGGAGCTGAATGGGAAATCCCTGCTTTCGTTACTTTTTCATATTGTATCGGAAAACGGTATCAATGTGTTTCCAACATTCATTGACGACGTGGCCAAAAAAGAGCTAACAGATATAACGGATGGAAGTATGTGGAAGGAATGTGTCTTACATTTTGAAAACAGACGAATTTTGGGATGAATAGGTTTTGTTGAAAAGAGACTTGCACGAATTTACTACAGAGGGAAAAGGGGGATTTACATAGTGTTATGAGGATAGATTGGTGGACTAGTTTAAGCTGCACATAATCCAAATATAAATATACTTTTGTAATGAACTAAAGCCTGGAAGAATAGCACTTGTCTCCAGGGTTACGACGCGGTGGTAAACATTCTGAACCTGACTACTTTTAGCATGTAAGCAATGGAGCGTATGAATTGAACATATCGCAAACTTCCTCATCTAAAAGAGCAAAGTTAAGAAATTGTATTCATTCATTTACCGCCCAACAACTCGGATCTGAATGCAATGGAAAACTTTTTCCCTGTGTCGGAAACAATGATAATCAAGTTCCTCGCAATGGTCGCCAGCGGCCAGGGTGCAGCATTAGAGAAAACTGACTGATGTAATTTAATTATTAACTTGTTGGACTTCATGCAGAAAGTGTGGCCTTAGTGATAAAGATGAAAGAAGGACAAATAGGGTATTGATAAAATGAAAGCACAATATGTGTGTCGTATCCACGAGTCATTTTAAGAAGTAAATTTTTAAGGTGTTTCCTACTGGAATTTCGTTTTCTCGCAACTGATGCGTCTGCAATCGTCGTTGAAATCGAAAAAATCGTAGGTTTAAATGGCATTTGAAGCATATAAATGACAACATAAGTGGATACTGTCACAGATATGTAGCGTCTGTTGTGAAGGTAATGCCATTTTCATTCCCGCGAATGATGCTCAAAACACCAGTTGTTGAGAGGACCAGATCTGACGGACGCGAGGGTGTCACACGAGCTAGGTTAACATTAGTTTCTGCTAGAATATATATATGTTTAAGTCAGAATTATCACTTCTGTTTTCTTGTGGATAAAATAGGTGATGCGGTGTGCGCCCAACAGATTTTCGTCTTTAGCTTTTCGTGCTATCACTTACCTGCCTACGAGCAATACATTTCGCCGAATTGTATGAAAATACCCATAGACGAGAGTTCACACATTATAACGATAAAAAGACAATAATCAATAAATAACAATGGAAAAATACAATGATTTATCATGTATAATATATAATGATAAAAACTTTTTATTTAACTGTGAATGTTGGAATTTCAAAAGACGCCAAATGATACCAACACAGGAATAAATTCATTTAGATGAAATGAGGAATGTGTTGTGTTGCGCATGGAAATATTACATAATTTGAGATTAGCCAGCTGAGATTTGCAACTCGTCGTATGAAAACCGTTTATTTGGGCTGATAAACGTCTTCTTGGATCTCTGTTGCATCTTGGAAAAATAAAATATCTAGGAGTACTACTTGTTGATCTGCAATAGGTACATGCGATATGATTGCACGAGGTTTATGGTACCTTAATTCAAATTAAAGAATGACCTAGTCACAAAGACTATTCGATCGTAGACAGTCAAGAGCAAACGCGGACTGAGAACATGATCTCTGATTGCACCAGTGTTTGTATATACGCAATCGAAAGTATGTAACACTTTTATTAGTCTAATTATTGATGTGGATATGTATTGCTCTAGTGAAAATTTGTGACGGAAGATATCTCAGCTGAAAGTCTGGGGATCAATTAAAACAGTATAAACATACAGTTAAACTCTGAATGATTAGCCGAATCTCTCCAGCTGTGATTAGCCTGGAAATGATACCTTTTTCGACTGGATGAGGCGTTGACTCATACCTGTTACCTTGAGCTATTCTGGTCCATGCTCTGCCACATTTAAATGAACAAATGCTCAGATCATAAGTGAGTGAGAAATACTAGAAGTGAACGTTTTGAATCAGGTCCCTCAGAATCATGGGCTACATTGGTTTTCAAGGTACAAAATAGGGACAGGTATATTTGTTGTTCAAAGAAATTTATCTTCATATAAAATTACTTTTCAGCCCCCGCCTCTATCCGCAGAGCGAATAAATTTAATATGATTAACAACAGTAATGCATCATTATCAAAATTATTTTTTTAAATTTTTTTTCAGGAGTCTCTCAGTATTCGTTACAAAATGGTTTGCCATGTGAAAAACTCAACAGGACAAAAAAAGAGTAAGTGAATAAAATTGCACTGCGCTTAACGTGGCACGTAACGTGATTTTCCATCAGACGATCAATGCAAATGTAGAATGGCCGGGCAGTTCGATTCAGATCACAAAATCAAACCACAGACTGCTGAATGAAGTGCGAGGAGAGCTTACAACGGTCGCAGCTGGAGTACTGCCTTGAACAGATTGTACCGTGGTCGATTGTACGGTAAAAACCGAACAACTGTAGACATTTGCCGGACACCACTTTTTACCAACGATCTAAATGTACGTTCACATTATTAGTTCAGTACAAACGCCATGTGACGTTTGTTTTATACGATTGAAAACTGCTGTATCCTTCCACGAGGGGAACGTTCACTTTTCGCTTTCGCTGCGTTTTGTTCGTTATCGCGCTCGTTGGTTCGCTCGCCTTCGTACTTCAACGCAAACGTTCGTTAGCCGGTTCTGGTACTGTCTCTATACCACGGTNCCTCAATAAACGTCTATAACCACAAGTCTTCTGGTTTAACCAGCCGTAACTTGGTCGTGCTGCGAGCTAGGGGTTCCCGTTTTGAAGCGCGTCACGCTCGGTCGTGGTCGACGTCTCTTCAAGATGATGGTACCATTTCCAGTAATATTGATCTATCTCAACCAGCTTCAGTTTGTCCTCCATGCCAAAACAGATCAAGAAAAAGACCAGCATGGAACTATATCAACATGGCGGATGATTTTGATGCATTGTGTCTCCCAAAATTGAACCAGCGGAGAAAGCTGATAGTAGCAATGCATTGTGCATCTATGTATCGAAAGTTTCCTTCTGGACAGAACCCACTCCATAATCCGTGCCCCGTCAAAATGAATTTCTTATGATTCTTGTTATTCTAGTTCCTTATTGAATACACAACTATGCAAAACATCTTCAGGCGGAGATAAGTGGCAAATCAAAGAGCCACCAAGATAGGGCAATTTTACGATGCGATACGTCAAAATCTACTAGTTAAGCGACTAAAACATATTCATTTTCACATCTACAAGCAATGATTAAAGATTATATGCGGTGAACCAACAAACGATAAGTGAAGCACACGAAATAATTTACATGGCATGTGAACCCGCGTATGCATTCCACCAATATTTAGGTGGATCACGCGTTTAACCAAACTAATAAAAAACTACCAGAGACAATGCAAAACACGTGTTCAATTTTCTCTATTGATGAAGTTACGGTCAACCGGCATACATATTGGCGAATTGTATATTCGTGTCTCTTGCCAGTCCTCAACGATAACTGAGTATGAACACATCTTGTGCACTCTTCTAGCTTAGTGTGTCCTATATACCCAAAGGTAGGTTTAGTTCTTGGGTCAGTTTGAAACCCAAAGAAAGATCCGGATTCACAAATGACAAAAACTTGGAATGTTTAACCTGACCAACATGCTGCGAACCGTGTCTACTGGAGTTGATTCTCCATTGAGGCTGAGTAAAATTTATTAATATTATTAATGATTATTAATGATCAATAATAATAATTATTATTATATTAGTATTTATTACTATTAATTATTTTTTTATTATGATTATAATTGTTATTAATTATTATTGATAAGTAAAACAAGACGTGAAACTTCGCACAATTATTGCTGAAAGCTTGTCTATAACTCGCTAAAGCTTGAATGCAACAACTCATAGTGTAGCGAGAAGGCGAGCTGGCTGGGAAAAACGTCTATTGATCCAATTCAAAAGCACACAGTGTATGCGTTCTATTATATACAGTCAATTCTCAACCGCGCGGTGAGATGATTCATGCCTTTTTCTGTGGGTCATTCCGTGTTGATTTTGGTCCGCACTTGGAACGTACGTTGCTTCTTCTTCCGCGTGTCATTCCGACTGGTTTGACCCGATCGCGGCGCAAGATGCGTTGGTCGACAGCTCCGATGTTGTGGCATTCGGTGGATATCTTTTCCGTTAGCTTCGAATTGTCTTTCGGGCTGTAATTGTCGATTCGCTCGTTTCGGGTGACAGTCAACATTGTCTCGCGAGGCATTTCCCGCCGCTGCGTCTGCGCGTCTGGTCGGATGAGCCCCATTCTTGATGCGGTCGCTAGCCAGGACTCTCTTCGTACGGCCTTCCATCACACTCGCCCCTCCTCTAAAATGATTGCCGCGGGTGTACCACCGCTCCAATTCTTTACCATTTACCCATCTTCCTTGAGGACCCTGATTGATCCGAAAACTGTCGTTCTTCCTCTCCAGAACAGTTAATGGCCCCATCCACCGCTGTTTGAACTTTCCGGCCCCCGGTCCTGTTGGTTCTGGTCTGCCTTGGTTCTTAACTTTTACCAGCTGTCCCGGTATGAACGGCTGCCACTTTTGTGATCAGTGTTCTTTGTCGTACGCTGCCTTGTTGCGCTGCTGGGTTTGCCTGGTTTTCTCAACCGCTTCTCTCTTCAGCTTGTCTCGCTCCTTCGTGGAAAACTGTTCGCCGGATCTTCCGGGTAACGCATCAAGAGGCGTTCTGGGTTCTCTACCGTATATAATTTCGAAGGGTGGTATCTCTGTTGCCGAATGCGATGTTGTTCTGTAGTTGAAAAGGATTTCCGGTAGGCTAAGTTCCCAATCACCGCGATGGTTATTGAGCCATTCCTTCATTGTTCTGTTGAACCTTTCAGTCATTCCGTTGGCCTGCGGATGATAGAGTGACGTTCGTGTTCGTTTGATGCCCCAGCGCTCTAAGGTCTCCCGAAAAATCTTGGATTCGAAACACGGTCCCTGGTCGGTAGTGACATTTTACGGGATACCAAATCGTGCAACCACGTTGTCTTTGACTATCCGAGCAACCGTTTCTCCTGTTTGATCTAAGGTTGGTACCGCTTTCACGCAGCGAGATACGAGTTGGACCATCGCGACTATGTACCTGTTCTCGCTTGGACTAAAAGGCAGAGGTCCAAACAGATCCAGTCCCCGGGTTTGAAGTACTCTCTGTGTGTCTATTGGTTGCATTGGTGGTGTTGTTGGCGGTGTGTATTTATTATGTTGGCGCTCGGGGCAAGAACGAATGTATTCAATTACATCCCGACACATCGTTGGCCAGAACACGCGACGTCGTAATGAGTCGAGAACTCGTTGCCGTCCCATGTGTTCTCCGTCGTGTACGAGCTTCAACACCCTTTTGCGAAGGCCGGATGGGATGAATGGCAGTCGCCTAGGTTTCAGTCCGCGTTCCATGTCCACTT